CCTAGTCAGGTCAGCGCCCGGGGACGTTTTTCCGACTTGAAGGGCGCTATGCAAGTGTAATTTGTTGTTGTTGTTGTCCTTTATGTACATTCTACGTCGCCTAGATTCATTTTAAGCACATATTTGCATGGAGCAGATGCAATGGTGAATCATATTCAAACATCAAAATACTTAATGAGTTCCATTCAGGTGAATTTCTTATTAGCTGTGTGGGAGCCTTGAGAGGCATAGACTGATACTTCCCATTTCCTCCCTGTTGGAATTGTCTCATTAATAACCAAACAACAACAACAACAACAACAAGATTCCATTTATAAAGCGCCTTTCACGTCAGGAGGACGTCCCAAGGCGCTGCACAGTTGGGTCATGACCCGAGCAGGGGGGAAATGGTCAGGGAGGGAGGGAAGGGAGGGAGCGAGGAGGGGGAAATGGTCAGGGTAAGGGGAGGGAAGGGAGGGAGCGAGGAGGGGGAAGAGAGTCGAGAGGGGAGCTGAAGGCTCGGTCAAAGAGAAAGGTTTTGAGACCGGCCTTGAAGGAGGAAAGGGAGGAAGCAAGGCGAAGGCACTGGGGGATGGAGTTCCAGAGCCTCGGGGCTGAGAGGCTGAAGGCCCGACCACCGATGGTAGGGCGGTTGGGGCGGGGGACGTGGAGCAGACCGGAGCCAGAGGAACAGAGGGTACGGGCAGGTAGGTAGGGGGATAGTAGGTCGGAGAGGTAGGAGGGAGCAAGGCTGTGAATGGCCTTGTAGGTGAGGATGAGGATCTTGAAATCAATCCTCTGGGGGATGGGGAGCCAGTGGAGGCGAGCGAGGGTGGGAGTGATGTGGTCCCGAAGCCTGGTGCGGGACAGTACACGAGCTGCAGAGTTCTGAATGACCTGCAGCTTGTGGAGGGAGGTACCGGGAAGGCCGGCGAGGAGAGAGTTCCCATAGTCCAGTCTTGAGGTGACAAAGGCGTGAACTAGGGTTTCAGCAGCGTGAGGGGTGAGGTAATGCCGTAGTCTGGCGATGTTCCGGAGGTGATGGAAGGCGGTGCCAGTTGTGGTGCGGATGTGAGGGAGAAAGGACAGCTCAGGGTCGAACAAAACGCCGAGGTTCCTGACTGGCTTTGAGAGGTGGAGAGTGCAGCCTTGGATGCTGATGGTGTCAGCGCCTGAGGTGCGGAGGCGCTGACGTGAGCCAATCAGGAGGGCCTCGGTTTTTCGCACGTTGAGCTGAAGAAAGTTGTCTCTCGTCCAGGACTCGATGTCGGACAGGCAGGCTGTCAGGACATCGGTGGTCGTGGAGTTGAGAGTAGAGGAGGAAAGGTAGAGTTTCGAGAGGGGAGCTGAAGGCTCGGTCAAAGAGAAAGGTTTTGAGACCGGCCTTGAAGGAGGAAAGGGAGGAAGCAAGGCGAAGGCACTGGGGGATGGTACTCAAACAGTACTACCTCAACAACAACAACAACAAAATTACATTTATAGTGCGCCTTTCATGTCGAGAGGACGTCCCAAGGCATTGGATGTCCCAAGACTACCTCCCACTAGTCCCCCTACGTTGAGTTTTCTTCTAGAAATTATTCCAGCTGCACATGGGAGAGCAGCTACAAACACCCATGCAGTAATAGCCAATCTGCTGCTTTCTAAACTATATAGCCACTTAAATACTCAAGGCATTCCTATGCTTTGCTTAATTAAGGAAAGTTAGGGCGACCTTCATAATTTAATTTAAATCAACTCAAGATTAACAAGATAAAAGGTGTACAGGAATTTACATTTCCAATTCAAAATGCAATTCAAATATCTGTAAAGCAATGAATATAAATCATTTCTATATTAAATGGCATTAAATTCTACATTCCTCTCTGATGGACCCCCTTTAATAAAAAAGAGGACTACCTAATATGGTTTTGTAAATATTAGTACCTCATTTATATGCATTGAAAGGTTTTGAACTAATTTTTAATTTGAAATCCCATTTAAAGATTAAGTGGGAACTTAAAACACATTACCACTAAACTCTGCATTTTCATGAACAGATCTGTTCCATGCTAGCGTCAGTTATTCGTTAAATCCTAATTAATGTCAGCCTGGTAACTTGAGAGGCTCAGCGAAAAGGTCAGAAGCCACAGCTTCCCAACTATCCAGTCACTCAGGACTTGTGGTTCTTGGCTGGAGGACTAGTGGGAGGTAGTACTGTTTGGTTATTAATGAGGCAATTCCAACAGGGAGGAAATGGGAAGTGCCAAACTAATCCTGCTTAGATTTCATCTTGTAACTATCTCCTCCTCTCAATTTCAGGAGATCAACTGGTATCCACGGGTCTTTAATGGAACAAACTGAATTTTAGACAAGATTATTCAGTGGCCATAGGAAAGTGAATAGATTGTGCTTTCCAGCTCTTGTTGACTCTGATAGGGGGGGCATAGGGTATATGTGAGTGCATGGGAATGAGCAGCAGCCATTGAAACGACAGAATCAGCAAAACTATTTAGAAAATCTTTTCTTGCACAAATGCGACAAATAAATTCGATTGGGACCATTTTGCACAGTGTAAGAACAAGATACCTTGATTTAACGCTTGCTATGGGTTGCGCGCACGGTCATTCTGTCATTTAAATAACTTTCAAAATGACAGATAAGCGTAATTTCAATTAGTCTGCATGTAATAAAGGATGGAGATTAAAGATTGACTAGCTTGGTAGTTGTTATAATTGGAAGATGCATCATTATTAAACTGGCAGGGTCACAACCTGGGCCAATAGAAAAGTGTGGCAGCACTCCTCTATAAATCCGTTAAAACATGTAGTTTCTGGTCCCGAGCCTGTAAGCGTGTGTGTGTTTATGAGTGTCTCTGTGTGAATGTGTATGTGTGTCTCTCTCTCTCTCTTCTGTCTCTGTCTCGGTGTGCGCGTGTATGCGATTGCTTTTCCGGGGGTAATAATTCCTTCAATCCATGACTGTTTGTGGGTCACTGCTGTGCACAATTGGCTGCCGCGTTTTGCCCACAAAATATGGAGTCAATGCATTTTACACAGTTCTGTGAAACGCTTTGAGACGTCTCAAAGACGTGATAAGGCGTCGTATCAAATGCAAGGATTATTATTATGTCTCTGTGCCCGAGTGTGTGTATGTGTCTCTCTCTCTCTGTGTCTGTGTGCATGGTGCTGGGCTCTTGAGAGGCAGGGGGTGGTGAGCTCCTCTAGTCTCGCAGCCAGGACACTGGTCCTGAGTGTCTGATTTTTAGCCGATCTCCAAGCCCCTTCGGGCCCGCCTTGGTGTTCCCCCCACCCCCCACCACCAAATGGGTCACATAGTTTTTGCTGAAGAAGAAATTAATAAAAATGTTTTGTAACAATGTGTTATTTATTTCCTCATGTTTAGCTTTTATCAATGAAGTGAAAAACTAGGTTGGCAGTAAAATATACTTCAATAGCACCAATCAACTCCACCAATTTTCTGCAAAGCGCAAATTTCCCCGCACTTTGGGGCAAATATTTCCGCACCTTTCTATTGGCCCAGATCATAACTAATCTCAACCTTAACACCAGCCTCTACTGAGTTCCATTCAACAATCATCAAAATTGCAGTCGGTATGTGGAAAAGTACAAGAACATGAATATAGTTCAGGAATCTGTTTGGAGGGGAAAAAACACAATTCCCACATTTCGCACCTTCTTTCATGAAAGATGGCTCTTTACTAATTTTGGTGCCTGTACGAGTTCTTTGCTCCTCTGTGGGCTAATGTTTAACAATGCAGAAAAGCAAGGAAACTCACAACCGATCTTTCAACTGAAAGAGTGATCACGAGTTTCATCTGTGACCTATTGATATTGTCAATCGAGTGTCGTCTAAGCACTTTCCTCTCTTCTCCCACATCCTCACCCCTCCACTCTCACCCCAATCATTATGCACTTTGGACATTTGATCCATTTTGCCAGCAGCTAAACTATTGACTTACACCACAGTCTGTGTGCCAGTAATTTAAAAGCCAATTCCTTCTTTTGTGTACAAAGCCTGTGTTGAATCACAGTGATCACAATTCTGTTCAAATTGCAAAACAATCATTTCCTCTCCATTTGCCTGAAATATAATCCAACTTTAATTTCTGCTGTAGATACATTATTGCGAACAATATTTATTTTTCACAATAACTGAAGGGTGAAATCGAGGTAAAACCTTAAATCTTCCAAGCTCCAAACGTCATGGTATGGTTTTCTAAACAAAATAATTATTTTCGTTTTTGTTTCTTTGTTGTCTGTCTCAATAATGTTAGATCCCAGCTGCCCTTTTCATCTCTGCACTCAGAAACCTTATTTGATATAGACTTGAATTTTAAAAGAATCCTGCCTTTGCTATTCTCGTTCAAATTAAACAAATTACTTGGATGCATTAATTGAAATGTAATGACTGCCAACTGTTTACAATATAGAAGCACGTCGTCACGCTGATAACAAAATATCTTTTACTCACACAGAATGCGAAACCCATATGTGACTGATGATAAGAATAACCATTCAGACAGAAAGCTGAGCGAACCCATGCTTCAGCCTGTCTGCTTTCCAGCTGCAGGTTTAAACCTTTTTTCCCATGGAACTAATGTTCCTCAAGTCTGTCATGTAATAATAAAATCAATATTCATCAAGAATGTTCATTCAGCCTTTGAATTCTAACAGGAGGCACTTTAGAAGTCTCTGCTGCCCAAGGAGATTTTCCACGTAATAAAACTTATTTTCCTCTCAATTATTTCGCCCACAAAATGCACAGTCAATTCACTTTACAGTATATTCTGTGAAGCGCTTTGAGACGTCTCGAAGGCGTGATAAGGTGCTATGTCCAATGCAAGGATTATTATTATTTCTTGTTGTTATTTTTGTTTTTGCAAACTACCGTACAAATTACATGCAGCCAAACAGAATGAGTTATGAAAGAATGGAGCAGCAATATCAGTTTGGATTATCCGTAACAAGAGAGGAAATCAACATAGTTTTTTTTTAAAAAACAAAAAAAGACTCTTCCCTTACCCTGAAGTGCCTCGAAGGCAGCTATAAAACCCCGCCATCCTCTGTCACAGAGGGTTCAATCTCCACTTCATTCTCTCCAACTCCCCGAATGTCAAACACAAAAGAACCGATCAGTGGCCTCCTGTTTAGCAAGTGCCCACACACATACACACGGACCCCAGCATGCCCTTGTAATTATTGGCCAGCTCAAGGCACTGCTCACTTTCAAGAGTGACATGAGGTAATGAGTGAAAGGTCCAGCTCTAATGCTTAACTGTATCCAACGGCTGCACTCATTCCACAAATGCAAATACAATACCACTCCCACCCACCCAACTCTCCTCCCCACATCCACAGAATTGAAGGCCCCAACATGCTGTTTGACATTGTATTTATCTCCACGGTCAGTGAGTTCCTCGGTCACTAATTAGATAAATTGCCCTCAGGAAATACTGTGTTTTGGCAGACATTAACTCAGAGAAATATGTAAAGTCAATCCAACTGTCAACACAGACCCAGTCACCAGATTTAAACATCATCCACTAGTTTCACTCCAAGATTTTTTTTTGAAAAAGAATGTACGCGCACATTTGCGTTTTACACCACGCTCATTTATAACCTGCCACTGACCTGTATTTTTTTGGGAAATGTTTGCTTAAAGCAAGAGGTTAAAGTCCAAAACTTATTTTGATTTTTCTCCTAAATCGTGGAACTTGGGCAGGAAATTACACTTGTAGTCCTTAACAATAACCAATCCCCTTATAGCTCCTTCACGTAGGATACATATCTTGTAAAAAACTTAACTGTTTGGGGAGCACCAATCAGTAAAAAAAAGTAGGCAGAATTAAGGATGATTACTAAAAATGCCATTAAATAGAGTTATTAAATTAATTTAACACTAGAATCAGTAATCACATTGATCGGGGCATTTTCAAATACCTAATTTTTGGAGTTCTGGTCATATGTACTACGTGGATGTGCACAGCGCCATTAATTATTTGCTTTCTTTTAAGGTTGTATTTAAGAGTGAATTACTTGACCTCAATCTAATGACTGTGTCTTTAAAAGTAAAAGTAATGCTTCCTTGAAGATTTTTGGATACCCATCGGATTGCCCAAGAACTTTTCAGGTACCATTTGGGATTGAAGCCACGTCAATTTGGATGCTTGCGTTTATACAAGGTGGGGGTTTGGTGGGGGGGAAAGAGTCAAAGAATTGCTGGTACCACCACCCCAGATGGATCTTCAGAATAATTTGTATCCAAATTCCACTGCTCAACCCTGAATTACACAACTCGTTTCATCTCAAAGAATGCAGCAAAAATATTGCACTGAGTGTACACAAGAAAGAGGGTTTGCTTTGCATACATAATCTACAGAGCACCAAATTGACAGAGCTTTATCTTTATCTGAATCAATTGCTGTTGCAGATTTGTCATAGATGTTCACATTTTCCTCACTTCAGAATGAAGTCATGGTCTGTCCTTAATTAGTAAGAGGGGAGTCTTACTCGTTTATCATAGGGTTAGTAAAGACACTGAACCACAAATACTGTTAACCATTAGTTCCTGCAGTTATGATCCTTTGACTGAATGTGCCTGTGTGTGTAGTTATTGTGTAAAACTGTGACAATGTCTGAACATCCATTTCTTGACATTTACTAGTTTTCCCAAGACCTTTGGTGTCCTGCTTCCCATGGTGAATGGGCAGATGAATCAAACGTAATAAAATAATATGCTGCAAGTTAAAAGGAAGCAGATCTGAGAAGAGATCGAGTGAATGCAGCATGGTCTGGGCTGACGTACTGCATCCAAATCCAAAATTTTGTTTTGCTAAAATGCCTAAGTCTTGCTTTTGTGGGCGGAATGGAATGTTGGTTCATTTCTCACTTCCTAGGTACATATTCTGCTATTTCCTGAAAAAAGTAAAAACTGCTGGGGGCAGCCAGAATGTTTGAGATCAAATAACCAGAGCCCATATGTTGAAAAGTGATTGAAATCAATCAGCAGGAGAGACTTAACATGTTCACAGCTGTGTTGTAGTTTGCAAAGTTTCCAGCTTGTGGGTAAGAATCCTGTCCCATTGCGAGCATCAATTTTAACTGATTAAAGGCATATTCATTTTGGTATGTCTGGCAGACTTGTTATTAATCCACAGTTGGTGTTATATGTAGGCAGTATCTTGATGAAATGTGATTGCAGAATAATGAGTGTTTATTTCATGACAGACATTAATTACACTTTCACCTACAAAATACAGTCAGCATACAGTAAATCCTGTGACAGGCTTTGTAACATCCAGACATGAAAGGTGTTTTATAAGATGAAATAATTATTTGTTATCCAATAAATCACGATTGAATAAGATCTCACAGAGGCAGATGAGTAGTCAAATGGTCTATTGGAATTATACTCCATTTTCAAATCATTATATATTTTCTACTATTGACAATTCTCTTATAACTTAGGGAGCAATATTGAGTCTTAACAGATATCCCTATTATGGTCTTGCCATTCCAAAGCATTTTCAGGAGATTCACTCCACTGCCCGTGGAAATAGGACTCAATATTATGACTGAATTGATCCCAGGCTCTATAAATTAATAATAACTACAGCAACAATGTGCATTAATATAATATTAATTTACCTTTTCCTAACTTTCCTGATAAAATGATTAACGATGTACTTTGTGTCATACGTTGAGGAGAGATAATTTGTTTTGTGACACAGCTTTCGGATCCCATTTTAGTAACTTTTATTACAGTGAAAAACGTCTCTCACCAGAACAAAATGTCTCTACTGGAACAGTTCCATTGTATCACACCTGAGAGTTATTGCAATGACTCCTTATTTGAAAAAGGTGGCAAAAAAAAGGGAATAAAAAACTTCATGTTAAGCTGTAATTTCATATGTAAATCTATATAAATAGGAGTTGATTGGAAGCCTTTGTTCACTGTGTGCCAGGAGGATTGGAAACGGATTTTCAGCTTTTGCAAAATATTCCAATTTACTGGCAACCAAACCAAATCCCCAAACTAAAAAAACAGAATGTTTAGGTATAATTATTACCACAGCTGTGATTTCAGCATTTGCACGGGAAACTCTTATTTAATAACAGAACTGTGCTCTTTTCACTTGTGGATACTACGAATGATGTATATTAGAATGCAATGGGATATCAGGGATATAAGTTGCATTTCACATTCATCTTTGAAATCTTTAATGTTGCAATAATGTGAAAAGAAGCCCAACAATTAATAGGTTTTTCACTGAGTTAATCACTGAGCCCCAGAGTCTTCTTCATAAGAGAATAAAGGTAACCTTTGCCCTGATCTTTCACCTCAACACCATAGAAAGATATCCGTCTCTCAGTGCCATAGTTTTAATTTGCAACTGGTCTCACCTTAAACTCTTTTCTGTTAAATATCTCCACTCCCACTGGGTTTAGAGGAATTATAATATATATTTTCTTGTCTGCACCATTGTACACAGTTTATTTTGTCTCAGAGACCTTGTACGCAAGGCTACAAGTGCTGCTAGCAGTTTACCAAGCTTTGTTATTTTTCCCGTTTTATTGAACTTGTCAAAATGGTTAGCTATTGGGACTGATAATTTATGAGTAGTAATTATTTGTTGCTTGACATTCACACGGGTAATAGTCCCCAATATAAAGTGGCCTGGCCTGCATTTCTGAACACAACACATGGAGAATAGCATGAATCAGAGGTCTCGTGAGATACACAGAAAGGGCTTTACTTTTCATGCCTGGGATCAGAGCTGCCCTCTTCAGCTGATAGAATGCCTGCCCTATAGCATTTTGTAGTTGTTACACATTGAACAATATGATTTTGTATTTGTCTATTATGGTAATGAAAAGAGTCAATTCATTGACTTTCCAATGGACTCCACATATGCCAACTGTAACAACAGATTATTGGTTTTTTTTTGGTAAACCGAGTGTCTGACACATGTGGAAACCCATCACCATGCTTAAGGGTATCCAAACCAAACTGAGATTTCCACGCATCCCAACTACGCATTGAAATCACAGAGATAGATTGTTGGAATGGAACGCACACTTTCTCCCTGAAGGGATACATCTTTATGACTGTTCCTTGTTTTTGAAATCAAGCTGGTGGGACCTTTGTTCTGCATATAGAGTATATTAATCTAACTTTCTCCTCTTGTTAATTTGATACCTTTCCTTTGGGTTATTAGACTGTTGTTCTGCTGCTTGGCAATGATCCTGTTATGTAATGACATCTTCAGAGAGATTGCCGACGTCATCGGCTTAGAAAATATTGCACTATTTAGTCAAGACTATTAAGCCATAAACAGCAATGTTTTGTTTGATGTGCTTGTTGTTGAGACACTAATGGTTACTGCCTGAGTTTTTCTTCAAGGTTATTGAAAATGCATAATTTATCCCTTGGTGGTTGAAGCAATTCAAAGTGATTAAAATCCAAGTGAATAATGGAGCCATCACAGAATTTCATGTTTAGCGGAAATCAATCTATGTGCCGCTAAGTGTTTCAAAAGTATATGTTTTGGAGTCCTGTAGCTCAGTGTTTAGAGTACTCGCCTCGCAAGCAATTCAATTCCCAGCAGGGTGGGAAGTTTCCTTACTCCACAAGCCTGAAAATAATCCCTCAAGAAAAAAAATAAAATTGGTCACTTCAATCCACCAACTGTTTGTGGGACACTGCTGTGCGCAATTGGCTGCTGCGTTTTGCCCACAAACATACAGTCAATTTACTTTACAATATATTCTATGAAGTGCTTTGAGACGTCCAGAAGACGTGAAAAGCGCTATATCAAATGCAAGGATTATTATCATTAGTATTATGCCACGATTTTTATCCTTCCATTACAATTGATGATCTAGTGGCTGAAGATAGCACACAATGGAAGATTAGGACCAAGAGATCCTTTGGTGGATGTCAAGTTAGGACAGGATTGGTCTTGCAATGAAACCCCTCTAATTCCACAATCCCCTGAGCAGGATACCACTTGCAAATGTAACTACTGAAAATGAATCCAGCACATAATTTGGTCACTTAATCCACAACTATTTGTGGGACCCTGCTGTGCGCAATTGGCTGCCGCGTTTCGCCCACAAAATCTACAGTCAATCCGCGTTAACAGTATATTCTGTGAAGCGTTTTGAGACGTCTCAAAGACGTGATAAGGCGCAATATCAAATGCAAGAACTATTATTATTATAACATTCTGTAACACTTTTTCCCCTAGAATGTTAAAATTATATCAAACGTCTTCTGAGTGTCTACAGGGGGAGTGACACAGTCCAGTATTTTTACTTACTGCAGCT